GGTCTGTTCCAGCCCCTTAAGATTCCATGATTTTTCCCTCCAGTTATTGAATGCAATCCAGCTCTTTGGAGCCAACCTGGATGACTACCTTCATCTGCTGCTACCTCCCATTGTGAAGCTGTTTGATGCCCCAGATGTGCCCGTGGTGGCTCGCAAGTGAGTGCTGGTGGCTTTGCAGTCTCTGTTTCCCCTGTGATGTCCGAGTTCTGCAGTGGCTGCCACAGCCATGTGTAGAATGGAACACCACTTAATTCCTTCCACAGCTTTTTCTCTGTGTTAAATCATTGTGGAAGGTTATTTTTGGTTGGACATCACAGCACTGTTGCTAGCTTTTTGGTTTGTTATTTTTGGTTTTGTGTGTGTGTGCTTGTGGGGTTTTTTTGTTATTGTTTTTTTTGTTGTTGTTTTGAGGGTTTTTGTTTGCTTTTCTGTTTTGTGGGGTTTTGTGGTGTTTCTGATTGGTTGTTTTGTGGGGTTTTTTTGTGTGTGTTTTTTTTTGGTTTTTTTTAAATTTTTTATATTATTATGACTTTGTTTTTATTTTCTGGTTCTCACCTGCCAGTATTTTAGTCACTGCAACTTGCAAGCTGTCCTGCAAGTACAAGCTGCATTAGCAGACTTCTGGTGGCCTGTTTTTCCTATTGCTATTAGTCCTGGGAAGACTGGGCACTTGGGTATTTTTACATCTTTTTTGTTTCTTCTTTCTTACACCCTGAGAGATAAGTTCTTCCCTCTTTTTCCTGTGACTTTAGAGCTGCTCTGGAGACAGTGGATCGCTTGACAGAGTCCCTGGATTTCACTGATTATGCCTCACGGATTATTCACCCCATCGTACGAACACTGGACCAGAGCCCTGAGCTACGAACAACTGCCATGGACACCCTCTCCTCTCTGGTGTTCCAGCTGGGAAAGAAGGTAAGATTGTTCTTTAGCTTGAAAGCTCAGAGAAGGAGAGACTGTCCCAAAGATCGAGGCTTTAACGTTGAAGTTTTTGTAGTGGATTTTAAAGAAAACTGATTTTTCTCCTCTTAGTTTTTTCTGGAATCGGGAGTTACTTGAAATCAAACTGTCAGAATTGGTTTCTTATCAATGAAACAGAGGTGGAATTATGCTGCTCTTGGTGCCACTGAGTAACAAGCTTATGATCTACATTCCCTTGTCCAGTACCAGATTTTTATCCCGATGGTGAACAAAGTCCTGGTGCGACACAGAATTAACCACCAGCGCTATGATGTTCTCATCTGCAGAATTGTAAAGGTGAGTTGTCAAGTGTATATATAGTTGTTTGCTTAAGGGCACTTTGGAGGTGGTGTCATGTAGAAACAGATGTAGTTGGAACCCTCACTTTGAGTTACTCATACAACAAGGGATGGTTGTTGCTGTAATTGAGTGCTAAGAACAGCTTTTTAAGGAGACTTTGAGATTACACTGGGAAAATTACTGTATTGGTGTTAAATATTTCCTGTAGAAAAATCACAGCAAGTTCTAGGTAAAACTTAGACTTGTAACCAATGTCATTAGTATTTTTTTTCTTGTTAGTTCATACATGTGGATTTAACCTATTTTCCCACAGTTATAGGCCTTAAGGAGACCTTGTTATCTCAGTTTTTTCTGCAGGATGTCCCACATTTCAAACACTCAGTAGCTGGTGTGCAATTTAATTAGTGTGCAGCAAGCAGTACATTGCTGTTCTCTGCTTACTCAAATAGGCAAGAGTGCTTGTTTTAAGGTGTATTATTTTGGCTTTTTATCCTGGGCAATAGGAGTTCTTAACAGTTACCTTGAAGCAAAGGGATATCATTGGAGTTCTCTGGTTTATAAGGTGTAATTGTTATAATGAAACAGGGTTGTTTGCTTCCCAAGTTTTGCTGTAAATGCTCTGACTTTATCATCTGTTTTTGTATGTGGGTGTATCTTCACTGTAAGGCATTTATTGCAGGGCTACACTCTTGCTGATGAAGAGGAGGATCCCCTGATTTATCAGCATCGGATGTTGAGAAGCAACCAGGGAGAAACTTTGGCCAGTGGTCCTGTGGAAACAGGTCCCATGAAGAAATTACATGTGAGCACCATCAACCTGCAGAAGGTAAGACTGGAACCCTCACAGCGTGAGTTTGCTGCTGAAGGGAGGAGCTGAAGGGTCACAGTGAAGGGGTTTGTTCAGTGCATCTGATCTACCTTTATTTACATTGCTTTTCTGTTGCCAGTTCTGTACAAAACTGAGGTCAAAGTAGTGCCTGAGGCTCTTTAAAGTTGCTCAGCACCTTCTAATTCTAAAGATAGGAGCACCTGAACTATCAGTCTATTAATGGTTGTGAAGTAATCTTGACACTTGCTTGTTATGTGAAATATGAACAAGATTTTCTAGATCACAGTGAATAATCTCAAATTACTGGAGACATCTATTTTGGAACATCCGCCTTTCTTTTATTTTTTGTTTTGCTTCTTTTATATCTTAGCCCTATATTCTCTTGAAACCAGAGCTTAATAGCTAATGGCTAGTCTGAACAGTAAATACATGTAGCACTCAGTTCAGTAGTGGGGTGGATTGGCTTGGAAATGCTGGACTTAAAAACGTAATTCTAAACGCATTAAGTATTTTTAAGCTGATGCTTCAACAGTGGCTTCAACTCTTCATGTATTTTTGTAGAGAAAAGATTACTCATGTTAAATACTTGCCATGTCATGGCAGGAATACATTTAGGGAAGATTTCTTAGAAATGAGACTGAAGCACTGCGGATTATCTGGTGTAAAGGTAATGGATTTCAGGGAACTGAAAAGGGATTCTCAGCATGTGGTTTGGAGCTGTAAAGCAGAAATGCTGCCTGCTGGTGGATTTCTTCTGCTCCTGGATAGTGCTTTGTTTGATAGATGAATTGTCTTCCTTTGTCCTGCAGGCCTGGGGAGCAGCAAGAAGAGTTTCCAAAGATGACTGGTTGGAATGGTTGAGGAGATTGAGTTTGGAGCTGCTGAAAGATTCCTCCTCACCATCCCTGCGCTCGTGTTGGGCCCTGGCTCAGGCCTATAATCCCATGGCTCGGTACAATATTTCTGCTTTCTCCATTTCACTTGAAATGGCAAATGCAAGCCAGAAATTGTAAGGAAAAAAGAAAGTTATTTAGAAGCTCTTAGGTTTCATAAATAAGAGATAGTTCCTGCTTTGGGACAAATCAAAGAGCTGGCAACTCAATTTCATTTCCACAGTTGGCTGCTCCACAATGTGCACAGAATCTTTCACTGGAATTCTGCATATTAGTCTAGAAATAGCATAGGGCACAAAAGTGTAGCTGGAAAAACAGCAGAGTATGAAATAGTTTTGAGGATCTACTGTGGAGGAATAAAAATGCCTCTGAGTGGAATGAGCTGCAGTGTTTTTTTGCTACCTGTACATCTGGAGAAACTTTTAGTCTGACAGCACGAGAGTACAGTATTTCTATTATTGTAGTATACCAGCCTACTCTGTTTTTTAAATTAAGGTTTTACAGAAGTTAGCTTTGTAGAAACTAATCACCGTTTATTGCAGGTAGACATATAAGTGCATTTTGTAGCTCTCTTTCTCTGAATAAGAAGGCAAGTCCACTGTCAAACAGACTTTTTCTCATGAATAGTGAATCCCCACCTCTCACTCTCTTTGTGTCCCTCCTCAGAGACCTCTTCAATGCTGCTTTTGTTTCGTGCTGGTCTGAACTGAACGAAGACCAGCAGGATGAGCTGATCCGAAGCATTGAGCTGGCCCTGACTTCTCAGGACATTGCAGAAGTCACTCAGACACTGCTGAACCTGGCAGAGTTCATGGAGCACAGTGACAAGGTAGAGATGCTGTTGGACAACTCTTTTCTCCTGGTGGCTGGCCTGTGGAAAGGGTGTGAAGGGTTCCTGACTACTTTGTTACACTCATCCTGGTTTTGGCGCGTGTGCTCCTTTCCAGGGCCCGCTGCCTCTGAGAGATGACAATGGCATTGTCCTCCTGGGGGAGAGAGCTGCCAAATGCAGAGCATATGCCAAGGCCCTTCACTACAAGGAGCTGGAATTCCAAAAGGGTCCCACCCCAGCCATTCTGGAGTCTCTCATCAGGTAGGACCACAACTCATGAGACTTCTGCTCTTGCAGTAGCACGTGATTTAGGACACTGTTAGGATTAATCTAGGCAGTTCCTAGGATTTCACTGTCACAAGACTTCTTTGTGGGCTTACTGACTAGCTTGCAGATGTGCACTTGTAACTGCTGAGTTCTGCTCTTCTACAGTGTGGTTAAAATTATGATAGAAGCCCTGGGAAGTTTTGCAGGAAAAAGGTTCTGATTCCCCCCCTCACCCTTCAAACTCAATATGGAATGGAATGAAGTGACTGCAAGTCAAACGAGACAGATTTTTATTTACACCTACATGTAAATAAGTCAGAAAAGTTGAAATTCTTACTTAAAATTTCTCATCAAATTCTGCTGATTTAGCTTGGATAGGTCTCATTGCTCATATGTCAAAGAGAAGATATTGTAACAAGAGTGTATTGTTTCCTGAGCTTTGTCAACAACAAAGATGTTGGCCTAAAATACCTGCAGAGGATTTGGTTCTAAACTACAGGTTTTAAAATGTGAAACTGTTCCGTATCACAGAGATGTTAACTCTGCTATTGGAGACAAACTTATTTGGGCTGAGCAAAAACTTAGCTTTGCCTTTATGCAGTGAATTTTTCAGCCCTCCTATTTCATTGGAATTGTATTTCCCCTTTTTTTCTCCTCTTTTATTCTTTCATCCTTTGTCCTGTCTCGTTTTGTTGAGGAAAATACAGAATTCAGTGTACTTCCTTTCTTGGTCTCAGTTGCTCGTGCAGCTGTTTCTTTGTATAACAAAAAGCGGGTTAAGGAGCAAAGAATTGACGTAAAGCAGGATTAAAAATGAAATACAATTTATTGGAAATGAAAAACTTTTAGAAACCTTTAAAAATCCATTTTAGAGACCACAGTTAAAATACTTCCAACTATAGTTCCACACAGTTGAAATTTGCAGTATGAATAGTTGAACATATGTAAGGCAATTCCCAAGACACCTTGATCTCCCATTTCACACAAGACTGAACAATTTAAATTAGATTCAGACTCTCTTTAAGGTGAATAAAAATAGATATATTAATGATAACTGTCTTTTCCAACATATTCAAACAATGGTAGGGCTACAGGAGGAGTCTCATTCTTTTTCAACTTTTATTTTTAACACTGTGTTATGTAAGGGAGAAACATGCTGATTTTTGACATAGCATCTCCAGGTAACTTGCTGTGGGGGTAGTTTTCAGAATAGATTTTGATATTCCTTAGTGTGGTGTGCTAGCAAACATTCCCTTATGTTTGAGTAACCTTTGGCACTTAGGGATTCTCTGGTGTGTACTCGTGTTTTGCTCATGGATACAGTGATTTTAAGTGTTGGAGTTGAGTTTTTTTGGCTGGGTCTGGACATTTTTGACTCACCTGCTGTTCACTCTTAGCCTTACTGACACACAGCACGTTTGTGTTCTAACCTGAACGTAATTTGGTGACAGCCCAGAAAGTTGCTTTCCAGTTTATCAGCATTTTGGGTGGTCTGTGTGGATAGGAATAAACATCAGAGAGCACCAGGGACAAATCCTTCTCCAGGGATACAGTCTGCTGGGGGCGGCCTCTGTGGGGATTATTTGAGGCAGCAGCAGGAGGTGGCAGCAAAACTTCAGGAGAGAACCTGGACAATGCTCATCAATTCAACATTTTGGAGCGTTGTGGTTTTCCTCTGTGGGAAAGCAAGCAAACCACTTACTATACACTAAAGAAAGGTTCATCAGGGACACCTCTGGTTGATTCCTCTGGCTTGAAATGAGTGTGTAATTTTGTGGTTTGGGTCCCTCCTGGAGGGGGTTACTCAGCAGTGCTGGCTCGGGACACTGAAGGAAAGGCAGCAAGGAGGCTCTTGCTTTTCAGCCCCTGCCCATCTAGTTAATAATACTAAAGCAACCCACTGCTAGAGAAAACACACCCAGAGGTTTTCTGAAGGTGCTATGAGTGCATTCAGTTCTAAACTATTCTAACACAATATTTTTTTCCCTTTGGAAAGAGCCTGAAGAGGAGGAAGTAGGTCTGAGCCCTGCTGACATGGTGGCTGTGGCTGGTACTTGCTGTGCTGCGGTGTTGGTGTGTGTGCATGGCCAGAGCGTGGCTGTTGCACAGATTAGATGAAAGGAACAATTACTTGGCTGTCCATTGCCCACCTTCTGTGCAGTGGCACCGTGGAGCTGTATAATCCAGCTCTGATTCCCTCTATGGTTTGAAATCCTCCGGCCGGATCTTCATCTCGACTCTCTTCAGGGAGTAGGTGGATCCGTGCCACCCGTACCAGGTGATGCCATCCATGTTCTTGGTGTGCTCTCCCTTTCGGTAGTAAACCCCGTTCAGGTTGGAATCTGTGCAGCAGTTGTACCAATAGCCACCTTGGAAACAAAGGAACACATGCCTGGTGAGCCATTTACTTAAAACTGTATTAATAATAAGAATTATTGCTCTTTCTGGAGGAGAGAGAGCAGAATGCAGCATTTAATCCCTGCAGCCTATGGCCAGTGGTTAAATGCTTTTAAAAGTTTTATTTGCGTGTTGTGTGGGACACAATGGGGAAATTAAAGGGCAAGATGCAGTGAAGATAATTATCTTTGACAGAACTCAAATGAAGACAGTAAATTGAATGAAGAGAGTAACATCATTAGAGGGTTGTAGTAGCTGAGGTTGCAGGCAAATTCAAAACTTAACATAGGTTCTAAATACACAAAGGCTTTACAGTTCTATAGCCAAATTAGTCCAGTAGCTTTTCATTTAGTTGCTTGTTCCTCTTGGAATATTTCCTTGACATGTTTCTGTCTCTGACTCAGTGAGGCAGCACAGGAAATGAATTTGGGTTTCTTAGCTTGGGCATGTTAAGATGTTTCAGAAGTTCCTGGACTCTGCAAGTATTTGTTGAGACTGATATCAACAGTTTTATCTGCATATTGTGTGGAACACAATGGGGAAATTAAAGGGCAAGATGCAGTGAAGAAAATTATCTTCGACAGAACTCAAATAAAGATAGTAAATTGAATGAAGAGAGTAACCTCATTAGAGGCTTGTAATAGGGTAGGAATAAAGATCACAAGTCGGGTTGAACTTGGAGATGGGTGTAGGATAGTAATATAAAAGAATAATTACAGGTCCCTAATACTAGAACTTGAAAGCTCAAAATAATATAAGAGAAAATAAGAACCTGATAAACCTTCAGGAATAACTTCCTGCCTCACTGAATTGCATCAGCATCTGAGACAGTGTGGCTGGGTAACAGTGTGTGCAGGTGAGAGCACACACCAGGTCATTTGAAGGTACTGGTGTCTGTAACACACAGTCTGGCTCAGCCTGAGCTGCCAGCTATCCTATGTCAGTGTGTATCCCAGAGTTCACCACCTCTCCCTCAAATGCCACCTGGATATTACCATGGAAAGAGGGTTGTTTGGGGCTCCCTACACCTGCCCCAGGCTGTTCTCTGGGGACAGGAAGGTGTTTGTGTGCTGTACCTTTGCGGAACTGGGCACAGTCATCCACACACTTATCGTTGTCCTTGTCCTTCGTGCTGAAGGCCGTGTTGTTGTGGTACCGCAGGGAGTCTCTCCCGGTGTTCCCGCTGTAGTTCCCCACAAACAGCCTGTAACTGTTGATCTCATTGCTCAGGGTGAACTGCTGGTACTGGGCATAACGTGTGTTGCCTTCCCAGTCCTGCCACAGAACAGGGGAGAAGGAAGTGGTCCTGTTAGAACAGTTATGAGAACACTCCACCATCAATGGTTATATACACACACTTTTTCCGCCTCAGGCTGCAGGAACTGCTCTGTTAAGGCAAAGGAACTTTCCAGAGCAAAGCATGATCCTTCCAAGTCTTATCTGCACCTGGTGTTAAACAGTGTCCAGGAAACCTGATGTGCAGCTCTTGCATTCAACATCCTTGTCTCAGTGCTGCCTCAAGTAATTTTTTTTCCTCTCTGAAGCAGGGACTTTATATCTAAAAGCCTTTCAGCTTATGCACATCCCATCCCTCTAAGCTGTTGTACCACCTGTAAACTGGTCTAAGCCAAACCCAAGCCTTTAGTGGGCTGAAGAAATTGTTTGAGGGTAATAAAAGGCAAACTCTTTTGCATCCAGGCTGGAAGGAAGTACTGCAAAAGGAAAAGACTCAAAGGCTTGAAAACTTGATGGGGCGTCTCTTTTTGGATTTTTAAATCTGAGGTGGTCAGCAGTTGGATCTCTGTCTGCAGGATTTCCCAGGTCCCCATGTGTTCCTGGAGACACAATCCATATGCTGACAGAAGGTTGTCCCACTGACTTTGCACAGTGGAGAACATCTGCCTTGTCCTTGAATGTATCCCTGGGTTGATCCTACCTCCTCCTCCTCCTGTATTTAAAGCATGCAAATTCTTTGAGCCTTCTATAGAGGTAGGAAATGGGATCTGCTGCTGGGGATTCACTTTGTGCAAAAGACCTGCTGCTGCTGAAATGAAGAGCTCATTAGTTACCTCCAGCTCCACTCTCAGGACAGTGGGGCGTCTGGAAAGCCGGTAGATATTTTCATTTCCCAGCCAAAAATCTCCCCGAATATTTCCAAATCCTTCCTTGTATTGTTTCCAGTCCCTATTGAACGATGTCAAACCAACTTTGCGTCTTTGGATGATAGTCCAGCCACCTCCATCTGTCTCCATGTCACAGAACACCTGGAATAGGGAAGAAAAGGCAGTGGTTACTTGTCAGTAAACTTAGGGAAGGTCCAATTCTCTTAACACAAGACATTGTTCCAGATTTCACAACTTGCAGAAATTTCTATTCTGTTTAAAACTCATGGCAAAAAATTATTAAATGAATTTTCCCTATTTCTGTTTTCCCTCTTGAGTGTTCACTCTTTCCTTCCTTGAAGTTTGCCTACAGAAAGGTGCTGATTGCAAGTGCAGGGTGTCCTCACTCAATGGGTGCTCTTTTCATCTCTGTAGATATGTATTTCTAGATTATATTTGAAAAGACACATAATATACATTGTGTACTTATGATCCTTACCTCCAGATCTGGAATCCCCAAAAATTCATCAGGGGGTAGCTTGTAAACACCAGAAATTCGGTAGTTCCTCTGGTAAAGTGATGAGCAGTCATAGACAGCATCTACTTGAATCAGAACCAGAAAGTGAAAATCTGAACAGCAAGAACTCCTCTCCTCTTAGGGTGCTTTCTGTAAAGCTTTGTGTATAATGCAAGGAGTAATCAGGTGAGGAAGGCTTCCCACAAGTGTAATGTTTTCCTGAAATGATCTGGTTTAGAGCAGTGTATGCGTTGGAAGAAGATGTTGTAGCACTGGGACTTTGTGATTTTTTTTTATTATTTTTTTTTTAACCTCTGCTGTGCAAAGGGCCATCTCTGCTTTCTCTTCACGTTGCTATTGTGTGTCTGTGCTGGGAGGTATAAAGGTTTATATTTGCCAACCAATGTATTAATGGCCAGTCCTGCTGCCAGGTGCCTGCTTTGTGTGCTTGGCCAAGCTTGTTGGTGAGGGATATTTGTTCTGCACTGGAGCCTGGGACAGAGAAGGTGCCTTTTAGCTGCAGTCAGTCCATCTGTGCAAAGTTCCTTTCCTCCTGGTGCAGGAGCTGACTTGAAGGTGGTAAAATGCACAGCTATTCTGAGGATAAATGAGCTGAAGCAAAGCTTTATCCTGTCTGACAGTTTTCACTTTAGTACAGACTAAATGTCTCTTACCTGATGAGGGGAGACACAGCTGTCTTAAATACCTGCTGGGCCAGTTGCTGCTGTGTGTTCCTGGATTTTTTTCTAAACTTTTTCTACAGTTCCCATAGAGATTTGTTATGGTGTAACTTTCTTTTTAAGACGTACCGTAAAGAGCAATGTGTCAAAACTGACCAAATGGAGCTTTTTTGTAAGAAGAATTAAGTAAATGGATTTCAAAGTTTTTCCTTAAAGTTAAAAAAGAAAAAAAGTCTGAATGAAGTCTTTTGGCAAACCCAGACATCCCAGACAACAACAGTGTCTTTTTAAAGAAGTTTTAAGCTCTTTGTGGTGAATTTAATTTTAAAAGAAAAGTCAACAAAGGAGACTCTTTCTTCCAGAAGTGGCTTTACAGGTAGCCGACCTCAAAGTGCACCTGCATTCCACATTTAGTACAGGCCTGTGCAATCGCTGTGTGCAGTGAAATTTCCCCTCAGGGAAGAGAATTTTGAAGAATTTAACTGTGTTCTGGCTAGGCTTATATCACAGTTTGTGTCTTGCATCATCTACAGCCTTGAACATTTGAGAATTATCATTCAAATAATGGATCACTCTTTTTTGTTCCGGTTTAAAGATAAAATTACAAATCCTAAGTAATTCTTGGAAAGCATTTCTAATTGTTTTAACAACTTCTGGTCCCCTGTCAGCGCTGTGAACTCAGGGGATATTATTGCCAGAGCCATTCCCTGGCAGAGCCAGTTCCCATTCTTTTCCTGGTACTGTAGTGCTCAGAAATATCAGGCTGAATTCTGTGCCGTACAAATGCGCTGCTTCTCAACTCCCTGATAACAAATATAGATATAAAACCACTGGTTTTCTCAGGACCCCCTGCCTCCAGGAGCACTTCCAGCATACTCAGCGTGCCCCCATGCTAATCACATTAGTGGCAGTGGGAACTGGTCATTAGGTGTGTGTTAGGAGGTGTTTGTGGGAGCCTGGGGACTCCCTCCTTACCAGCTGACGTCTGTGTGACCGTCTGGGCCGCCTGGAGCTGCATGATGTCGATCTGGTTGTTCATCTCGGAGTATTTGCTCTCGGCGTCGATGAGCCGCGACTCCATCTGCTTGGTGCTGCCTTCCAGCTCCATCACCTGCATGACCACGTTCACCCAGTCCCCCTCCTGCTTCTTGCTCAGCTCCTGCAGCATCCTGCTCAGGTTGGCCACCTGCAGCTTGAGCTCCCTGATCTCCTCGCAGCAGCCCGGCACCTTGGGCTGAGCGTTGCCGTTGTTGCTGAGGGTTCTCCTCTTGGGAGGTCTCTGCAGCAGGGCCGGGTAGGTTGCCACGGACACGGTGACAATGCAGAGCCACGCCAGCTGAGCCGTGGATCTCGCTGGCATTTTTGCTTACAGCAACAGAAACCTTCCAGCTGAGCGCGGGCTGAGAGCAGCTGGGGTAGGTATGAAATCCCCTGCAGCAGCCTGGCACCTTCCTTGCTTCCAGGGAAGGGAGTCTCTGAAGGTGGAGCCTGAAGAAGTGGCTTTTTTTCAGACCCCTCCTGTCGGATGTGCACTTTGGAAGTCTGTCTCAAAGCATCTTATATACTATTTTTCTGTTTACCTCCACCCCTCTGAAGCTGTGAAGGGCTTGCTGGCCCCTCCCAGTTCATCTGTTCGTATCAGGTGTTTACAGGGTGCAATTGGAACAGGTTTCAGCCAAGAAAAGTTGGGAAGAGCAGGAGAGAATTCCCTCAGTTGTGTCTTGAAGGGGTGTTGGAAAAGGCTAGGAAATGAGGAGAATTTCCAGCAATTATTGCCTATTGGACTGGAGCCCTCTTGGTGACTAGTTCTGGCACTTCAGTAGCAGTAGAGGTCCAGAATGTGAAAAGGCTGTTCAAACAGGATGAGTTTATACAAGTTCAGGGAAGGTAACTCTCTAGGAGGTAACCCTGGCTGCTGCAAGTCCTATTAATGCATTCCCCAGAAACTGTAGGGGGTAATTCTATGCTTGCAGTATTTCTTAATTTAGACAGTATTTTAGCAAGTTAATCAGTTAAGCATCTAATCCCCCTTTCTGTACACTGGTGTCTCTACATTATTAACTTTGTAGAATTCAGTGCTGTTCTTTTTAGAGATGGGATATCTGAGGGTAGGATGGAAAGAAATCTGCAAAATATATAAGTTAAAACTGTTTATTCATAGTGGGCAAGTGAAAGGGCATTAGGTAATAGTGGAAGTCTACTAAAACTTGACAAGAGGTGGGTTTTTTACAGGCAACATGATCTAACTCCAGTATTATGGAGGGCAGTTTATTAACAGGATTTTGAGAGTAAAATCTATGGGTAGTTAAAATGTCCACAGTTACAAAAAGAGTAGATTTAAGAGTAAATCTTTAGACATTGAGAATTGATCAAGTATCAGCTGGCTGAGATAGCCACTTCCTCTCCTCTTTTATATCTTTTAACAGTTCAAAAGTTAATTATAGCAGTCTGATCTCCAAGCAGAACCTTTTCAGCAGTGGGACAACCTTTTGCAAAAGGTCTGCAGGCTTTGTTCTGGATCCTGAGGGAGAAGGTGTTTCACCCCTGGCCACTGCTCTGTCATTGCCCAACATGTGGGTTCTTGCATCTCCCTGCAAAGTTTCTGATTATAACTGGCAGAAATAAGATGAAATGAAGGTGGAAATGGCTCATGTATCTGCTCCTGAGGTAAATGCTGTGAAAGCTTCTTGGTGTCTAAGAAAACAAAAGAAAGCTAATCTTGCTCCTTTTACAAAGGGCATCAGGACAAACCCAACTGACACGTGCTGTCCCATCTGGGTGTTTTTTGCTGATCCAAAGTGGCTGCAGGATTTCTGCTTGATTAGGAACCACTGGAAAAGCCTTACTGATCTGACATCTGCTTTTAGAGAAATAGAAAGCACAGTTTCTTGTTGATGCAGTTTCTCTCCTCCTCAGCTTTGATACACTTGTTGCTTGATGCTTTCTTGCTGCCTCTGATTTGCACCACAGCTGGTAATAGTTTTTCTGCAGAACAGACCCACAAGGGTGCAGGGATTTAGAGAGATGAAGGCATCAAAGCACTGCAGGGGTGGAATGTGAATACAGATGTTTCCTAAACCTGTATTTTCATAGAGAAGGGAGAGGGGATCTTTCAGAGGAGGTCAGTGATCTCCACAGGCAGCGTGGGTATCTGGAATTGTGTGGTGGGTGACTCCTGTGTGCTGTGCTCCAGGCAAATCCACTGCATCTGTCCTGTCAGCTGCTGAGGCTGCTGTGTGGGACTGGGGACCTGAGATATTGCCAGAGGTGTGCGAGTACAATTTGGTTAAAGCACCGAGGGCACCTCCACAGCAGAGCACAGGCTTCAGTCAATTTTCCCCGTGGACATTCCAGAAACCTTCCATAGCAAAATTGCTTTTTATACATCAGACCAGAAAGTGCCACTGCACATGGATGAAAGCCTGACCTTTTTGTTCTGTCTCTAATCCTGTCTGAGCCCTCTTCCAGCTGGAGCTTCTGTCATTCCCAGGGGCAAATTCTTCTCCGGCTTCCTGTGATGAGAAATGTGTTTTTGTCAAAGTTGGAACAAAGAATGGGACAGGCCAGGCTCTGACTTTCCTGCCCCAAAAAGCCACCCTGCTAACACCCCCATTGTGTTACACAGGACTCCAGCCCATTCTGCTGCTGCTCCCACTCACCATAACTCCTCTGTCTTGGGCAGATATGGAAGAGGGGAGCCATTTGTAGGTCCGTGCATTCCCTCTTTGTACAAATTTTGGAAGGATCTAAGATTCAACCAAACTCTCAGTTACACACAAATGTTACAAAACAGTGCAGAAAGGCCTCCAAATCCCTTCTCTAAACGGGAGTATTTAATTGGAAATGAGACAGCCGGGGTTTTATTTGGGATTCAACCTCTAATTTGTATATCCCAATGTAAGCCATCTTTCTACTGGGTACTTTGATTTACCTGTTTAAAAAGAGATAATACTTTGTTCTGTGTAAGGGCGTGACAACAGACTCATTATGCAGGAATGGAGAAGGGCACAACTCTTCCCATCTGTCCTTACTTTTGAGGAAGCATTAAGAGAGATTTAGGCAGAGACATCTCTTGGCAGAAACCTCAGCCTTAGTGGAATTTGACTTCTTTATAAGTGTTTGAAAGATGAGTCTCTCCCAGTTCCCTGGTCACTTAGGCAGCAATAGCTCCTGCTGGTGGTCACTGCCAGGTTAGATCAGCTGTAGGAGCTGACAAAAGCTGTTCCACTGTTCTCTACTGGTTGTCTTTCAACCTGAATTCAGGATCCTGTCATATTTTGGACAGAGGTGTAGTTTGAAGCATAGCTAGGGAGAAACTAGTTCCATGATTACTAAATGGGTCCTAGTCCTGTTTTTTCCTTTCCCCCCAGTGGTGATGGAGAAATCAAGCATCATTTGGTCTGAAATCTCAACACCCTGGTTTTCCCCCATTATATTTTGTATGAGGGAATATTCTGCTACATGGAAGCTAAAAAGATGAGATCCTAAAGTCAAGAAAACGATGCAACCCCTTTTTTGACTCTGCTTATGATGTAGATTTGAAGTGGTTGGGAGGAATTGAGACTAAACATGGTTTCAGTTTGTATGTGCCTCATGTATATAACGTTGGTTGATGTTACTGAATTCGAGTATATGAGTATTACTTGATCAGAAGCAGTTATCTCCTGTCCCTGGAGGGGCAGATTAAGTCAGAGGTGGGTTTGAATGACTGCCTGCTCTGGGAAGCTGTTCTGGCAGGTGCATGCAAAGCTGAGACAAGAAGAAAAGCTCAGTGCCCTGTGGCTATTTATTTGGTAGCCAGTCATTGCAAAACCCTTAATATGCATCCGGCAAATGCTTCGAATCTGGAATTCCTGGTGCTTGCTGAGATGGCAAAGGCTCCCATCAGCTCTCTGCTGGCAGGTCACTGCAGTCCACACTTGGTCAGAGCTCTGAAATACCACTTTTCCCTCCCAGGAAGTGGGAAACTGTTCACCTCTGGCTTTGGAGATGCTCATAAATGCTCCAGCATTTACAGCTTTACAGTCAGGACTGCACTGGAAACCTCTGAAGTTATAGGGGAACAGGTAGAACAAGGGAGAGGGTCTGATGAGAAACAAAACCCTCATACTGCCTGCAGTCACCTGTGATTTCTTTTTTATTTAACATATCCACTATTGGCATGATCAATACACAAAGACTGACTCTGTGTTTCACCTTTTTCTGCTAAATATCCTCCTTGGCAATTTTATTTTTCCTGATTAATAAAAAATAGGTGGTACAAAACCTTCTGTAGCCTGAGCAGCAGGGCTGGCTAGGAATTTTGCTGTCATGGTTTTCACTGCTTTTTCTTTCGAAGCTGATGAATGTTTTTATTTGATTTGCAAGCATTTATATCAAGATAGGGAGTCTGGCAGGTTTTAATGCCTCTTAGCAATATGGTGTGTCCTTGCTGGAAGCTGAAGGGCTGCTCTGGCCTGGAAGCCCTCAATCATCACAACCCTGTATTGAAAACAGCTCTTTCCTGGTATTAGTTTCTCAAATGTATTTGTTCCCAGCATGGGGATAGTTTTTAGTGGCACGATGGACACACATTGGTTCTTTGAGCTGTTTGGGGGTTGTTTTCTAAGGTTTGCTGAATCAAGGACCCAGAGATGCCTGAACACAAATAAACTGTAGAACTGGGGAAACTGGCCAGCAAAGCCAATTCCTTTTGCCAGAGGATTATCTGTTCCCCCAAGTCTCCACAAAGTAGCAGTGCCTTCCACCTCCAGTCCCAGAAGCAGCTCCAGCACTTTTTCAGGAAGGAAAACAAGCTTGACTTAGGTTGGTAAAATCTGTCACGTGGAGCATCTTTTTAAACAAACTTGGGGAGACTAAACAAGAAGAGAAACTTCCTTTTTTTCAGACTCTGTGGACAAGCTGCTTTATAGCAAAAATGAGGTTTCTCTATCAAGTTCTGAGATGCATTTTGGCAATAGGAAATGTGTGTGTTGCCTCCTGAGAAGGCTCTGTTTTAAAAAAAGGGGGGGTTAATTTTTATGAGAAGATGGGGAGAGTCTCTTCTGTCTGAATTCTTGAAAATTTAATATATTTTGAGTGACAGAGAATATTGTCAATGTCAAAGATAATGGAAGACTGTAAAGCTCCCAGGGATCTATAAAAGCGAATATTTTCAGTAAACATTATACATTTATGGCTAGGGTTTGTGGAGGAGGAAAGTCCCTCATTTGAGCTCTCTTCATGCTGAAAACAATAAAGTTGGTTTTCATTCCCAGTTCATGTCTAATTTCTGTTTAAATAGCCTTTAAAATATACAAGCAATAGGAATATATTTCTCTTAAATATTCTTCTCTTTTGTGATTCAAGCTCTGTGCTGCATTTTAGTTGTTTGTACATGTAGGATATTTTGATATCTTAATCATCAAACAGTAGGTTTATGTAGCCTTTCACT